ATATTGTAATGAAATTGTAGCACGAACTGTAATTCATAAAAAATACTAATTAATTTGATTATAGACCAACTCTCCAGATAGTTGAAAATGCAGATTTCAATGATAGGGTTCAGTCAATTCACCCAGCAGAGTATAATATTGTAGAATATAAATATCTAGTGAATAGTAGCTAACCTATATCTGGATGGCTAGAGCAATATCCACTGTGACATTGTCCTTGTCTATCAATCAAAGAACCAGCTTTTTTCTTACTGAAACAATCAGAAAATGCACATGTTGCTGAATATTTACAGAAAAGACTATCACAAACTCTCAAAGTAATTTTAAATATCTAATACAAAGTTTATTACAGAGAATATTGCCAGTGTATAAAAGATGAGAATACATTTAGAATTAGAAAACTAATATTCAGGCTAATGGAATATACTTGAGGTTATAGGTCACGTAAAAGGGAAAACTACATTCCAGAAGTTCTGCCTAACCAGTATTATTCAGCCATGGCAAAGAAATAAAATCCAAATGTTTTGGTTGTTCCAGGTTTTGGCCAAAATCCAGATGTTCCCAGTGATTTTATGGAATGGGTAGAACAAGGCTGTACACTGAAAACACACCTTCCTCGCCTGTCTACCCAATTTCCCAGCCTCTTCTTTTCCTGCCTCCCCTCAGACACCACTGATGTCCAATGCATTATTTATCAAATCTACCCAGTGCCTTCCCTTCTCTTTGCTACCAATTTATTGGTACTACCAATCTCCACACGAATGATTGCCAAAGAAACCCCTCAGTCTTGGCTTTTTCCTGCTCCCCCCGTCCAAAACAAACTCTTCTGCCTGCATCAGTTGCATTTTGATCTGCTTCCGGAAAAAAACAGTACAACACTATTTTATTCCTCATAACTGAAGCACACTTAAAATGGTTGGATCACAAGGCATCCCAAAACAGTTGTTCTATATACAGAACAATTCATGCCCAGAATGTTTTATGCATCCCTAGTTGTAGTGCTTATATTAGGCACCTCCTATATGGATATCAAAATGCTCTAGAAATAAAAGACAATATAGTATACATTGAAAAGAACTTCACAATAATCATTTTGCAGCAGCTGTTCAGAAGAGAGCACAGAGAACTTAATTTTCCCAGAAGATGCCCAATAGGACACATTAGTGGATTGCTTGAAATGCTATTACCAAAAACTGACCTAATCTAATGAAAATTTGTAAATGAATTTGTGAAGAACTGAGAATAAGAGCACTAAAATTCTTAACACAGATCAAATAAACTGAATATTTGATAACAATGCCAAAACCTATTTCTATAGCCTTGAATAGTACAAAGAAAACTATGTTTTATTTCAGATGGTGTGAAAGTTATGTAACCTTGAAAACATAAAAAGGAAATAAATGACAGTTTGTTAACTACATTACCCTCATTAAAACAATCCATGAAGTGTTCCATGTGCAGGCTAATCTATTCTGGCAAAAGTGTTTTGGAGAAAATGAAAAAGCTAACAATTGTAGCTATGTGATGGAAGGCTAATGGTCAAGCCACCACATAGGATGTGCAGAAGAGAAAGTGTCAAGTTACCTGGTGGTTAAAGGAGGGTAGGGAAAGGAAGACCTTGAGAATATCAGCAAATGGGCAAAGACAATGGCAGGGAGGAGGGGCAAGGTACACTAGTCTTATTCTATTCACTCAGTAAGATGCTTCCAGATTTTGTTTGGCCTAAAACAAAAAGCACCCAAAACATTCTGGGTTTACGTTTTACGAAACCCAAGCTTACCCAGCTAGGTTGACAGAACTTCTAAAACATATTGTGTCTGCTTCAGGTTTGAGATAAAGCATATTTTCTTTGAGTGAAAAAACTGAATTCAAGTTACATCAAATACAAATATTTTATAATTAATTGATTTAATTTGAATATAACATGTGAATTCCTTGAGAAGGAATTGCAAAGCACCTTGTGTCCTGTATATCCATAAAAATATCCTAAATCATACAAGAACCCTCCTCATTCAAATTTTAAAGCACATTCATAAAAGGAAAAGATTTAAAATCTATCTGCTCATCAGTCATATAGTTGAGGCTTTTATACCTTAGGATTTTCAGGAAATATTGGGACACAGTCTCAAATAGACTGTCAAAGTTCCAGCGTTAGTAAAATAAATATCTATTTTTCATAAATCATGTTTAATCATTATCAAAAAGTTCTATGAGGTCACTTATGGTTATTCCCCATTTTAGAATGAGCTACCTAAGCAAAACTAGTGCCATTTTATGCATTTCCTGCTTCAGGCCAATTCCTCTTTGCACGGACCACAGTATACCTATATATAAAGGCACAAGCAACATATTCTAATCCATTAGACAACCCTTCCCCAAGATAAAGCACTACACATTTACGCAGATCCTGAATATCCCAGCTTCCTTTGCTTTAAATGTATTATTTATTAGATTTAATATAACTTCCCTGTCAAGTAGCCTCTGGATGGCTCACAGAGCATAATAATTAAAACATGCATGCTATTATTTTTTTTGCCATATTAAATACATGGCAAGAAAATGCAAAAAAGGAAAAAAGCAAGGAAAGAAGTGTGGGCTAATCTTATTAGTGTTTTCTATTTCCTAAAGGAATGTTTATGTTAATATTAAACACAGTTGACAAAGGGGAATGTCACATTGCAAAAAACATTGGGAATCTTTTTAGAAATGAAATTCAACACGGTCGAATCATATAATTGATATATCTCCTTAAAATTTCCAAGATGGTATGTTATGTTCAGCTTCTCAGAATATGAAATACTACCTTTTTGCAATACAATGTTCAACATGTTCAATGGAAAAAAATGCAATAAAGGTAACCCAGGAATTTCAAACTGTTTATTTAAATTATAATAAAATCATATGTCTATCTCCTCGGAAATCTCATATTACATAATTAGTTTCTCAAGTAAAGTGTTTTAGCAATGCAGTCTTAAACAAAAAAGTAGTAATATGATACACAATATTCCTATATTCAGCAAGGCTTGAAAATAGATTTTCACATTTGTTTAGACTTAATGGTCACTACCAATAAATTAAATTCACAATTCATTATACTTAACATACTTCCCTGCTTAGATAAATTTGAAAAGAGGTTGTAGTATTACCGAATTAGAACGGATTAACTACAGAAATGCTTCTAATCCCATTTTCTTGCCAAAACTGTGACACCTCAGGCAAACAACGTTCAACTGAAATATTAGTGTGAAAATTAAGTTCAGAATAATAGAAATCCTATCTCAGAAAAAGGTCCCTAAATATATTGCTTATCAAAAACTACAGAACTTAAAACACATACTTCAATGAATTTTAAAAACAGTCAAAAACAGAGTGGAAGTTATTTTTTGGATGCTTTTATTACTAATTTATTGTCTTAACTGTTTTAGAATTGTCATGTCACAGGGAGTCACTTGGCCAAGATGAGGAGCTTTAGAAATGGAATAAATAAACAAAACACTGGAGTGTCAAGACAGCAGCACAAAGACCAAGGTACAAGCAGCTCTCTTTCAGCCATTATTTAAACATTTTATCAGCCCAAAGTACAAAAAACAAGGTCTAGTTTCATGGTGATGAGCGACTAGAGTGCCAATCAATTAGTTAACAGACTTCCTCAGTTCAAAAATCAAGATCACACTCGCAAGCTTTGTCGGTTGTCACTCATGGCAGGACAATATACTGCTATGGAAAGCTACTGTTTGCTTTCGGGGGAGGAAAAAAAAAAACACTTTAAAAGATTCGAGTTTTGCAGCCTTTTCTCGGGCCTGTCTGCCACCTTTAACTTGAGGCGGCGTTCTCGATTTCCTGGTTCTTATTCCTTCTCTGGCGGTTGGAAAGGCGTGACGCGCTTCGACAACAACTCTGCTCGCTCTCTCGGTGGGAACCTCCCATCCCCGATACCCACATTCGTCTGCTTCGCAAACTGCTCCCTCCCCACCGCTCCAACATTTCGTTTGCACCTCCGGGCCAAGCACACAACTCCGAAAACGATCCCACTGGCAACTCCTAGTACCGTAGCAAAACTAAAGTCGAAGCCACACCTGACAATCGGGGGGAGGAGGGGGGAGCGGAGAGGAAGGAGGAAGAAACCAGCGCACTCTTCGCCCTTTTATTGTCGCAACCGAAGAGGAAGGAGAAAGCGGGGTGGGGAGGAAAGAGAGAGAGATTGGCTCTTCCCCCCCCTCCCCCCACCCCCGGAGCTGGCTTTTCTCCTACGGAGACAAAGGCCACCGAGGGACCCAATTGCAAAATGCGCGAAAGAAGTTTGGGGCTGGGTTATGGGCGCCGGCCGGCTGGCCGGCCACACCTGAGGAAAGTTTAAGAGCGCGTCTGGTTTTGCCTCGCCCACATCAAAGGAGGAACCAACCAACCAACCAACAAAAAAAACCCGTGGAAACCCGGTTTCTTCCTCGCCTTCGCACGCCTACCGGGAAGTGGCAAACTCGGGATCGCTCCCCGGTTCGGTGGGCAAGAGAGGAAGGGAGAGGGAAGAAAACAAGAGCTTAGGAGGGGCGGTGGGGGACTTCATTCTCGACTCCCTAAGTCCTATTCCGGGTGAGAACGTCAAGGCCCCAAGCTTCCCTTTTCAGCCTCCCCCCCCCCGTTTTGGAGGAGTGGACGATGAGCACTGTAGTCCAAAGGATCCGAGGGCAGGGGAACGACACCCCCCTCCACTCCCCCTCATTTCGTTTTTTCTCGCCTAATTTGCTCCCTCGCCGTCTTCCCTCGCGTCTTACTCTGCCTGCCCCGCCGCTAGTCCCCCTCAAGCTGTGCGCGATGTTGGGCATCTCCGGAGCCTTAGTAGCCGCCGCCGCCGCCACCGAATGCAGGACGGCCACGAGAAACTGAAGGAGAGGGAGGGAGGGAGGGGTCCTTTCGTCTCCTCCTTCTCCTCAGCGAGCGAGCAAGCGAGCGGCGGGGAGAATTCGCCCGTCCGCAACGGCCGGGGCGAGGCAGGTACTCACCCATCCATGGCAAGACAGGAGGAAGGAAGCGGCGAGGGACGGGACAGGGTGAGGGGGAAGGGAAGGGAAAGGGAGCCGAACAGCCGCTCTCAGGAAGAAAACGAGAAAAAGGAGGGGCGGAAAAGGAGGCGGGGTTGCCGAAGACGCGCATGCGCGACAGATGTTCGACGCCCTGCTCGTCTCCGCCCTCTTCTTTCCCCGCCCCTCCGCCGGGCCTTCGGGATCAGCGCGACCGCGTTGGGGGGAGGAAAGAGGGAGGGAGGGAGAGCACGCAAGAAAGGTGCGCGGCTGGCTTTGCCGGCCGCTGGCGACTATGCTCGGACGGCCTTGCGAAGCGTGCCTTGTGCACGTGACTGAACGTGCCCGAGAATGTGAAGAAAAATGCAAGAAGATGCGCGCGGCTGCCTGGGAGGTCGCTTTGCCTGAGCGCTTCGGAGGCAGCAACAACAGGCGGCAACCACAGCAGCGGGAGGGGGGAGTGACGGGGGGGGTGGGGTGCGATCTAAGGGCATTGCTTTTTTCCCCTCTGGGCGTTGGATTTTGAGAATAGATAGATCGACAGACAGTTAGATAGATAGCAGACGGCAAAAAAAAAAAAAAAAAAGAATCCTCAGCAAAGAGGACAGTAATGTACACTACAAGAAAACACATTCTTCTGAATTCTGTCGCAACATTTATCTTGAAAGTTTTTCCACTGTTGCACTTATTTTCAGATTGAGTAAATTTTTAAAATGTGTTTTAAATTAAAATATGTGTAAGCAATTTTCACATTTTTGTGTGCTTCCAAATCTTGACCGCTCACAGTATAACTACGCATTGGAATATGTTAAAAATACAGTATTTTTTGGTCTGCTACTAAAATGCAACAGAATTTTAAAGAAAAGAAAACTTCAAAGCACAGTATTTTCTTATAATTATAATACACAACAATCACTGTTTAAAAAGACATCCAAGTTGTGACAATTTGCAAGTCTTGAAAAGTCCTCTGCAAAAGCTGAGTCTTTAGATCAGTGGTTCTCAACCTTCCTAATGCTGTGACCCTTTAATACAGTTCCTCATGTTGTGACCCCCAACCATAAAATTATTTTTGTTGCTACTTCGTAACTGTAATTTTGCTACCCTGATATGCAGGGTGTATTTTCATTGTTACGAATTGAACATAATTAAAGCATAGTGATTAATCACAAAAAATATAGCAATGCTCACTGGAGAAGCTTATTCTTCCTTGCTCAAAAATGTTGGGAGGGAGGGAAGGGGAAGGAAGGAAGATTGAAGGGGAAAGGAAGGAGATTGAAGGGGGAAGGAGAGATTGAAGGGGAAGGGATGGAGATGGAAGGAAGGAAGATTGAAGGGGAAAGGAAGGAGATTGAAGGGGGAAGGAGAGATTGAAGGGGAAGGGATGGAGATGGAAGGAAGGAAGATTGAAGGGGAAAGGAAGGAGATTGAAGGGAAGGAAGGAAGGAAGGAAGGAAGGAAGAAGGAAGGAAGGAAGGAAAGATTAAAGGGGAAGGGAAGGAGATGGATGGATGGAAGGAAGGAAGGAAGGATTGATCTTTGGAGAGTCGTGTTTTTCCAGATGATGATGAACTGCAACTCCCAGCATTCCCCACTCTTCCACAGTGCTTTTTAGGGCTGCTGGGGATGGTAGTCCAGTAAGATCTGGAGACACACACAGATGCCCTAGCAGGGAAAATTGGTTGGGTAATTACTGCTGCTTTACTTGGAGGCATTCTGCAGCTCCTGAAGATCACTTTAACCAATTTTCCCTGGTTCAGCAAAGGCAACAAGTCATAAAACAAGCAACAGGTACTGGTAATAAAATGGCCCAAATTGTCCCTTCCAGCGCAGATGAAAAGAACAAGGGAAAGGGAAATCACATCTGCCTTTGACCAACAGGAGGAGAAGCAGTAGGAAAAGCGTGGTGTTTCAGCCTGGGCACACAGCCTTGCCTGCAGGTGCTGCCAAGGACGCACAAGCAGCTCCGCACAATTGCCCGGGGAGGGGGAGGCTCTGGCGGAGAGCCAAGCACCGGCACCTCCAGGGCCTCGGAAGCCACGCAGAGGATCTGCGCACCTTGGAGCCGCCAGCCCCCCTCTCACACCCACCAACCTGGAGCCCCCCATCCTCATCCCAGCACCTCTTGCCCTCTCCCAGCTGCCCCCCGGGACCTGCCCGCTCCTTCAGCCTCCTGAGCACCATCGCAGCGGCGGGGTCGTGGGAGCCCCTTTCCATGCTGCGCAGCCCTTCACCGCCATGACCCTTCCCCGACTCGTTACATGCGAGAGGGGCGCAGCTGAAGCGCCAGCTCCCGCTCAGAAGGCGCCGCTTCTCCCCTCCCGGCTTGGCCGGCTGGCCTCCAACGCACATGCGGGCATCGCCACCTCCTCACCCTCTTGCCCGCCACCTGGCCGCTTCCGAGGCCCGGAGCCCGGCGAGCCAGGAAGGAGCTGCTCCTGCACGCCAGCCCCAGGGCCGCGACGGGCACCAGAGGGCCGAGGCGGCTTCCGACGGCAAGGGAGGTGGGCCGGGTGGCGTGGGGGAGGCTCCAGTGCGGCAGGAGGGTGGCCGGGAGCAGAGCGCGGCCGGGCAACCAGGAGGCATGGGTTTAACTTATTTTATCCCATCCTGATTTCAACAGCCTCTAGGCCAGGGGTGTCAAACTCACAATGTCACATGACATGTCACGATGTATTGCAACTTTTTTTTCCATTGCTGGCAATGGGGTGGGTGCGGTTTCACTATGACGCATCTGGCCCGTGGGCCGGCAGTTTGATACCCCTGCTCTAGGCACTCAGACAGCTCTTTGGCTGGGCCCAGAGTGGTAGTTTAAAAAAAAGTATCAGCATATTGATGGTATCACTCCCTGAACTCCAGATGACCTATCCCAACAACTGAACTCAGGGCACAAAAAGACCTGCCGAGGGCACACCACAAATAGCTGACCTCTCCTCCCCCAGTACCAGAGATTGGAATTGCTCTAGTTAGGAACAAGACAGGGTCCCCTATCCCCAACTTTCATAGGTAATCCAGAAGGATACCATGGTTAAGAACTGCAGAAGCATACAGTCCCTCTATCAAGGTCCCCAACAAAATTCAGCTAGAAAAATTGATGCTGTTCCTGCATTATGCCTGGGCCTAAACCATGTCTGAAGGGGGCCCAAATGCTTCCACTAGAGAACTCTGAATCATTTTAATTACATTTTCCATACAATACCTTAAGTTATAGTTTGTGAGAGACAGAAATTGAGTTTGCGTATCATGCTAGATAACAAAACCATGGTTTATGACAATGGCTATTAAATTATAAAATTACAGAGTTAGATCCATAGGTTACTATGTTACGATCGCTGAAATATGATCTTCTAAAATGTAACAGAATCTTAATTTTCATAATTAAGATAAAATAATATAAATATATTAAATATATATAAATGATAACATAATAAATAAAGGTATGATAAAATGATAAAATAACTAAAATGAGAGCCCAGTTTAGTGTAATAGTTAAGGAGCTGACCTAGAAATCAGGAGACCATGAGTTTTAGTCCTGCTTGAGATGAAAAGCAGCCTGGTGACTGGTTGGGCCAGTTTTTCTTCCTCAGCCCAGCTCACCCTGGAGGGTTGTTGGAGAAAATAGAAAGTGGAAAAAGTATTAGTATGTTCATCACCATGAGTTCTATATGAAAAAGGCAAGATAAAAATCTGAAAAAATAAAAAAGCAGTCATTCTCAAGTTCGGTCAAGAGTTTAAATGTATGTACTGTTTTGACGGGCAAACAGTGACATTATGTGTGTAGTATGACTATTCAGTTTGATAATGTAGTCAAATACTTAGCAGGGAAATAGCTCTAATGAAAAGAAGGACTAGGGATGACATGATAGCAGTGTTCCAATATTTGAGCGGTCGTCACGAAGAGGAGGTCAACCTATTTTCCAAAGCACCAGAAGGCAAGACAAGCAACAATGGATGGAAATTAAATGATGGAAGGAGAGAAACAACCTAGAACAATTAACCAGTGGAACAGCTTGCCTTCAGAAGTTGTGGGTGCTCCATCACTGGAACTTTTAAGAAAAGACTGAACAGCCACTTGTCTGAAATGATACAGGGTCTGCTGCTTGAGCAGGGGGGTGGAATAGAAGACCTCCAAGGTCCCTTCCAACTCTGTTATTCTGTTAAAACATTTTCATCTGAATGCTATATTGGCTGGAAATTCTAGAAGAACAATAGCAAGACATTTCAGCTGTGTTGCTTATATGCTTTGATAAGATATAATACCAGTGGTTTGCAAACCATCCTGTCCTGGTTTATACAACAGTTTTTTTATTTGCTTATGAGATTTTTTTTTTTACACTATCTTAATCTCATTGGACACTTATATGTAAACAAGCATATAGCTTAGTCTTTGACTTATGAACAGTTGCTTAGTAACTGTTCAAAGTTATGACAGACTCCCCCCCCAAACGTACTTATGACCTAATTTGAAATTCTAATAGCTGCCACCCATCTCCTGATTCAAAGTTCTGATGGCTGCCACCTCCCCCCCCCAAAAAAATGTGATTGTACTTCAGGCACTTGGCAACCAGCCCTCATTTATGGCCATTTGAGTATCCTGTGATCACATGACCAAGATTTATGAGGCTTTTTTGCCAGAACCTGGCCTTTACTTCCAATTTCTGTCAAAAGCAGCCTGCTGAATACAATGGCTTCACATAACAATCATGGTGTTTGCTAACAACCATGGTGATTCTCTTAACGACTGCCACAAAAATGTTGTAAAATTGAGGTTGGTCACATGATATCCCGCTTAATGACTGGCACATTTTACCATAATTCTGGTTGTAAGCTGAGGATTATTTGTAAACTATAATTTCCTATATTGTGAGAACCTAACCAATGAAGATATTGTATTTGAAAGCCTGCTGAAAAGTCTTTGAAGCTTTGTACAAGAATGCGGTTTAATAAAAAGATTCAAATGAACTAAATATTGAGATAAGTTGAGAAGTTTCTATGTTGTCATAAATAATACTGTCTATTTTTGCTTGCCTTGTCTCCATGAGATCGCTCTGCTTGTTTTTCAAATGCACGGGGAAGAGAATGCATAAGGATTTGCATAACCACATG